AAAGCACTTAACTAAATTGGTGTCCTTTGTGGGGAAAAGAGTATTCTCATCTCTACCATGCAAACCCATAGACGTTGAGGCCACCTGGATTCTGACCCATCAGTGCAAAATTCAGCTGAGAATCCAGAAGAATTAAGACGTAATTCTGCATCCTAAATTAAGCATCAGTACCAGACTATCCTCTTTCAGACATAGTAGCACTGATAATCAGTCAGTGTTGTCTAACAAATCTTGGTAGATCCACTGCATCAAGTCATCTGGATTAATGTCCTACAATCTGAAAAGCTCACAATCTGGAACCCCAGCCAAACCCTCCTCCTGTGGGCATGAGAGCCCCAGCTGGTGTGCCGACAAGATCAGGCTGGACTCTGCCTCTCACTTACTTGCTAAGGGACTCGAAGCATGTCTCTAAACTTCTCTGTGCCCAGTTTACCTGTGCCGGGAACATTATAACAGCACCCACCTCATCATGTTGTTGGGAGGGTTGAATGAGTTAACACTTAACAGGCAAAACAGAGGATGAATGTCTTTCTTTGAGCTCCTGGCCTACACCACTGACATCCTGGGGGGAGAACTTTTCGTAAGGACTCACGGGTCATCCACTTTATAAGGCTGTGCCTGAGAAGAGCTGGAGGTAGCTATGAGCTCCGTATTCACACTCCTTTTCCACCTCTTAGAATGCTCCCCCATCCTCTCCTTTAACTTCTTTAACTTCCCCCTGGCAGGAACAGCTCCTTACAGTACCATTTTTTTTCCCCCACCTCTTTCCAGTGCCTCAGAGTTAGGCTTTTTGAGGTTTAACCATGAAAATAAAAAAGTGTTGATAATTAGTTGGTTTGAATGACATCTGCCTTCAGCCCAAGATATCATGTCAGGCCATGTGACATAGGGTAAAAGTTTTAGCTGCAGTAGGGTCTTCCTAGCCTTTCTCATATCATACAGATCAGTCCACCCTTGTTTTTTAAAATATTTTTTTCATTGATTTCAGAGGGGAATGAAGAGGAAGAGATAGAAACATGAATGATGAGAGAGAATCACTGATCGGCTGCCACCTGCATGCCCCCCACTGGGAATTGAACCAGGACCTCCTAGTTCACAGGTCAATGCTCAACCACTGAGCCACACCAGTCAGGCCAGCTCACCCTTCTTAAAACTATTATCAACCTCAGAAACACCGGCATAACCCTAGTGTTACACAGTTTTTTTCAGTAAAGCATGTAGAGTCCTCTCAAAAGGTCAATTAATGTGAATAATATCAACTTTACAGAACCAATTTCATTTACATTGCAATTCAGATATAAACATGCAGACAAATAATTTTTATTTTTCATAAGTTATATTTTACTGTATAATAGAAAAATACTTAAAAGGTTTGATTGTATAAGTGATAAAGTCTGATTTATACAGTTGTAATTTTGGGTGTGTATGTTGTAATCAAGTAATGAAAGATAAATATCTCATGATTTTTTACGGGACCATCTGTTGTGCTTAAAATAAAAGTTGAAACTCCCCTGAGTGATACATATTTGTCTTCTCTTGTTTTAACATCATTTCAGTCTGCATTAGAGCAAGTAAGCTGGAGCTGTTGTAAGCCACACTCCTATGGGTAATTTACCATACTTGCCGCCAGGGGGAAGTGAAGCTAAGATAGTGACTCAGGCCTGAAAAGAAGGGAGACACGTGGAAACAAAGTAATAAAGGCAAAGCCCAAATAAAAGGGAAAAAGAGGTAGGGGGAGGGAGAAGAGCTCTGGCTGGGCACCGGGGCATTTAGGGAATCAGCCATCAGTATCTTCAGATTAATGATTAGGTGCCCTGATAAGTTAGCAAAGGTAGGGCCTGCCAAAGCAAAATTGCCAGGAGCTTCCATTTGTGAGAGGAAGGGAGTGTCTGCTCCCCTTTTATCTGTGCAGGGAAATGAAGTCATGGTTCCTGATGAGAACCAGCACTTTTGAGGAATTAGCATCCGTGACACGAAACCCACTGATAACATGCTTGGTTCTGTTTTGCTTTTGTTTACTTTTCCTACTTAACACAAGCTCCTTCCATAAGCTCAGTGAGGTAGATTGTAGAGCGGCAGATGGGCTAGAAGGGACAATGCTAAGTGTGGGAGCTGCGAATCAATGCCCAGTGACAAGCCCAGTAGCAATGATCATTGTGCCTCCAGGTTTAAAAACAATCTCTCCTCCCAAAAGTCATGTTCCATTCAGCAAGTCCAAAAATAATGGCAAAAGTCACCACTGAAATGGATTGTTAATTGTCTGGTTTCAGTCACTGACAAGAATAAACCTGCTGAGGCCAGCTGGTCTTTTGTCACTGTGGCTCATAACACTATTGTTCCAGCACTGGGGATCCTGAGAGGGTAAGAGAAGGAAGAGGAGAAGGGGAAGGAGGTACCCAGGTCAGACGCCTAGCCCTCTGGGAAAAGCCTACCACCTAAATGACCAAACCCAGGGGCCAGAAGAATCCCTACCCAGTTCTCTCCAGGGGCCCAGAACTCGTCTCCAGGGGAGCCTTTGTGCCATGCTAGAGTCTGAGTCTACACTGTACCCAGAAGGCAATGGGAAGCCTTTGAGAGCCATTCCGTCGCTCTATCATATTACTCTAATTCTTGGCATAGCATTTATCACTATCTACTATTTATCCATTCACTCCTTCATTTATTCATTTCTTTATGGTAATTGCCTGTATCTCTATACTAAAATGTAAGCTACATGAGAGCAGGGACTTTTCCGTATCATTTTCCACGGCATGCCCAGAAAATAATCCAGGCAGTCATAGCACATATTCAATAACTGTTATTGCATGGCTAAAGATTTGTATTTGAGAAAGTGTCCTCCAGCAGCAGTGTCGATGATGGACTAGGGTTTGGGGGTGGAAGGAGAGAGCAAATCATGTGCCAAGACAATAAGTAGAAAATGTGCAGTAAGCTATCCATCCCATTTCCACTTCCATCCAGGCTGTGATATCAGTGCTGAGGACAGGAGAACCAAGGCCCAAGTCTACAGTGTGTGTGGTAGCAAGGTATTCAAGACACAAGGATAGAAGCAGTATTTAGGGGATGAATAAGACAGGCAGACAATGAGAAAGGTGGGCAGTCAAAAGGGTGAGGTACAAATAGAAACATGAACCAGCGAGCAGAAAACCATGATGATCCAGGCGCAGGGCGTAGTTAAAGCCATGGGAGAAGATATGATACATCCCTCCACCCACCCCCAAAAAAATATGCATCAAAGAAAAGGCCTGAGAATGAAGCCTGGGTAGACTCAATCCTTACTGTGGAGCAGATGAGACAAGAGAGTTTAAAAAGGGACAGTAGTAGCTTTAGTGGTTCCCAGGACCCCTATACCATCCACCCCCCAGCTGCTGGGAGGGGTTGGTGGCTCCTGGCTGAATCCCTCTGTGAACTGCCCTCAGTGAAGAAAGCTGCCCTGCCCAAGTTCATGGCAGCTCACATCTAGTGGCTGGTGGATGAAAGTGGGATATAGAGGCCTAGCCCTTCCCTCGTGGTCAGACAATTCTAAAAGGTCATCCCAGCTGAGACTCAAAGTGGGATTGACTGAGGCCCTTCAAACTCAACAACAAACTTCAGATCTCCCTCTGCCCAGGGTTACTTCTGCTATTTCTTTATGGGCATAGATATCAAGGTCACTCCTCAATAAATTTGTTTCGCACAGATCTTTCTCCCCAGGTCTGTTTCCCAGAGAACCTTACCTAAGACAGATGATGGCAGAAGTGATCCAAGGAAAAAGACTCTGAAATAGAATCATAGAGCTGGATCATCCACATGCTGGCTAGAAATGAAAACCCAACAACCTGGTGGGAAGTGAGGCCCTGACAATCCCCAGCTTGCTGGAAAGGTACAATTGTTAAAACTTTTATTGGTGATGAACTGGGATGGGAAATGTGTGGAAGAGACTGCCTTGGTAGGTGCAATACCCAGGCTTTTGAGAGATTCCAAAAGGTACCTCCTCTGAGAACAATGAAAACTGGTGGCTCTTGCTGAATCACTGATCACTAAAGAAAGACAATGGGAGGCTTAGAGCTGTGATTCAGCAATTGGAAGTGTGAAAGTTAGAAAGCCTCATTGGTGACATCTAAGACTTTCACCTCCTATGAATGGAGGGCAGAAAAAGCTAAGGCTAATGCCCAGGACTTCGTTTATGAGAATAGCAGCACTTCCAACAATCTGACTCTTCATCCCTGGGAAATCTGCTATGACAATGTCAGTGGCTTACTTGGTATGACTGGGACCCTACCGCCTGAATGGAGACATCAGAGTTAATGCTGGTGGTTGGAATGCTAAAACTCCACTCGGAGCCAGGTGGGCCTGCCAAAGGGGCCCTCTCTACCCTGTTGAAGCGGTACGTGTGCCTTGTTTGAACATGAAGCAGAAATCTCTGCACTGGAAGACAATACACAACCTTTCCCTACTCTCACGCCCATCAGGTCAATAACTAGAGTGCGGTGCAAATAGTGCATGGCAGGGAAGTGCTGGGCCTGCTGCCGAGTAAAAGGAACTAAACCCCAGAGGCTTGCAGAATCCAGCCCATGTATACTGACCGAGACAGAGATTGTTTATGGGACTGGGTCTTAAAGATGATGGATCAAAGGCCGCAAAAGATAAAGTTGGGTAAGGGTGAGGTGACTTATATGAGTGCAGTCTATTGCAATATATGATTTAAATCCTGACAAGGACTCTGGGAGATCATTTCAAAATGCTGCTGGGATGACTCTGGGAACTCTGAACAAAATTATGGCCCACGTTAAGCAATACTGCAATGCCAGAACTGATGTCACAAATGAAAGGTGTGATAAAATTCAACCCCTGAGCCAGTTTTCTGACCCAGGCTCCACTAAATAGAGACCAGTTCCTCAGGAGTCCCTATGGCAAGTGAATACAGTAAGGATTCCTAGTTCTTTGACAAATGGATTTGTAGTCATTTATTTAGGGAACAATACACTGGGAAAGTGGAATATTAAAGAATGGAAGTACATTTATATTTTCTCTACTTTGTATATATTTGAAGTTTCCCATAATACGAAGTTAAAGAAAAATACAGAAAAGGGGTGTGTGTCAATGAATACTGTTTAGGTGGCAAGTATAGAAAACCAGGAAACCAAAACTTACCTTCCCCTCATCTCTCAGCAGCTGTTCTAGGCACTGGGGATGCAGCAGTGAGCAAAACAGGTGAAAAGTCTTGCCTTTATAAAGGTAAGTTTCTAGTGGGGGGAGACAGACAATAAACAAAATAATTAAGACTAGAAAAGTGTGTGTGTGCAGACCCTGCTTTTTCTTCCCTTCCCTGAGGGTAGAGGATATAGCCTTTGAGAGCATATAACTGATTCAGAGATGAAGGCAGTGCCATGAAAATATTCTATGAAGGCACTAGGATCACAGATTACATATACAAGTTCTCCCTGGATCCTATTTTTATGGTTTAAACTGTATTTCTACCATAAAAGGACTTACAGCATGGAAAGAATCACCTATAGGGAACCCAGAGTCAACTATGCACTCCACAAGGCTGATTTTTACTATGGGCTTCATGAGATGCAAAATGTCTATAGCAGATCCACACCCTACACCCTCTGTCATTCAAGTTGGCTGGGGAGACCAGAGTCTCTTTCCCAAGATATTAAGCAAAAGCTCCATTATGTGTCATTGGCTCTGATTGGGTCATGAACCCTAAACCAACCATTGTCGCCCGATGAATGAACTGCATTGATTGACTTAGGACTGCGTCTCCTGTGCCTTTCCTGAGCTGAGGGCGGAGTCTTGCTCAAGGACTATTCACATATTACAAATGGCAGGATTTGTTTTGACAGTAGAGTCAACAGGACTTGATGATGAAGTTAAAAGAAATAATAGAGCAGTGATTTTCAATGGGGGTACCACCACTCAGAAGGAAGTTTTAAAAATTTACGGGAGTATTTCTGATTGTCACAATCAGTGAAGGGGAACTACTGACATTTAGTAGGCAGGAGTTAGAGACACCCTGAGGCTCAGCCAAGGAAGAAAAGGTATGCAGAGCAATTTGAAAAGAGCAGATAGACCCGTGATGGCAAACCTATGACACGCGTGTCAGACGTGACACGCGAACTCATTTTTTTGGTTGATTTTTCTTTGTTAAATGGCATTTAAATATATAAAATAAATGTCAAAAATATAAATCTTTTTTTTACTATGGTTGCAAATATCAAAAAAATTCTATATGTGACATGGCACCAGAGTTAAGTTAGGGTTTTTCAAAATGCTGACACGCCGAGCTCAAAAGGTTCGCCATCACTGAGCTAGACCTTAGACCTGCACCATTTTCACATATCTTATCTAAAATTAAGCCTGAATGTCTGCTCTCAACGAGGTGTGCTACAAAGAGGAGATTTGTTTTCTATGATACTATCATCACCCCTGACCCATATCATAACAAAGAAAATTATTTTGTCCCCATATTTACAAATAATAAATAGAGTTCATTTATGAGTACAGTACTTCCTCCTTTTATTCTTTTTTTACATTAAGAGTCTCAGTCTGTAACTTGTCTGGACACATTATCAACTTACACTCTTTAATTAAGGATAGTTTCCTCGTCCTCTTATTTTATCTCCTTGGGGGAAAAGCACCATCAATTGTGAAGCCCTTCTGATTTTCCCGATGGTCATTAGGGAGGGAGGGGCCTCACACAATCAAATAGGGGAAAAGGGACATCCTGATGCTCAGCAGAGGAGGGGAAAGTGCAGCTGGAGTTAAAACTTAGTACACAGGACACACAATACTGCGGGGAAGGCCTGGAGAGGGGGCGAGCAAGAGAGGGAGGAGGTCAAGGCGGGAGGAAGCATTTGTAATGCTTTCAACAATAAAGTTAAAAAAAAAAACTTAGTACACACTTAAGTGGAAAAGGCTATTCAAAAGAATATTAATAACATGCATTTTTAAAGCATTATAGCATTTGTCTAGGAAAACATTTGAATCCTATAAATCAATCATAGTGTTTGTCCAAGAAGTAGAGGCAACAAGAATTCATTTGTTGGTTAAGTTTTTTAACATAGAATACCTGGTATGAAGATTACTGGGCTATAGAAGGGCTGATTTTTTTTTCAACATTGGAGTAACTGTCGTTTTCCTAAAACTAATTTCTAATAATCCAACATTGGTTTTCAATCAGTGTCCACTCAGATCTCTGCTCTTCTGTGTCCCTGAGCTTTCTATTCAGAATGACTTCTGATCTTGCTTCTCTTAAATCCAAATGACTCCCAGAAGCAGATGCAGGAATCTCATGACTTTATTGTGGATGGTTAGTTTCCACTGCTGAGTAACTCATCACCCTAAAATTTAGTGACTTAAAACAATGACACTCATTATCTCACAGTTTATCTGGGTCAGGAATCTAGGTACAGCTCAACTGGTTCGTTTGGCTCAGGGTCTCTGATAAGGCTACAACCAAGATATCATATGGAGCTGCACTCATGTGAAGGCTGAGCTAGGGATGGTCTGCTTCTAAACTGGCTCATGCGGGCATTCCAGGATTCAGTTCCATGGAGGCTTTTGAAGGGAGGGCCTCAATTCTTCACTGACAATGGGGCAGAGGTTGTACATAGTTTGTTTTAACATGAGCCTCTCTATATAGTAGCTTGCTTCATCAGAAGAAGCAAGAGTCCTTTGGTTGCTCTCTAACCAAAGGACTTGTATGCATGCATATTAGCATAACCAATGGACACAGACACTGGAGGGGTGGGGGCTTGCCCAGGGGAAAAAGGAGACATACGTAAAACTTTAGACAATAAATTTTAAAATAAATAAATAAAAGAAGAAGCAAGAGTGAGAGTGGGCAGGAGTGGGGTTGTGGGTGGAGGGATGATGGAAGTCATAGTGGCTTTTATCAAAAAATCTTGGAAGTGATTTCTAATTATATTGCCCCATTCTATTCTATTCTATTCTATTCTATTCTATTCTATTCTATTCTATTCTATTCTATTCTATTCTATTCTATTCTATTCATAAAGCCACTAGGTCCACCTGCACTCAAGGAGAAAGGATGACACAATGGTGTCACAAATTACAAAAATTTGTAAATTTGTAAATTTGTAATTTGTAAATTTGTAAATTACACAAAGGTGTAATTTAACTAGGAGCCTTTTAACAAGCTACTAACCATAAAGCCCAAGCATTTGCGTATTAAAATATATATTTAGAGGGAAACCAAGATGGCAGCATAGGTAATCACCAATACTTGCTGCCTCTCACAACCACATAAAAGTTATAACTAAACAGCAGAATAACTCCCACCCAGAACCATGGGAAAGCTGGCTGAGTGGAAGTTCCACAACAGAGAGGTGAAGAAAACTCATTGAGACTGGTAAGAGGTGCGGAGGCACGAAAAGTGCTGGAACCTGGATGTGCTGTTCTTTAAACTGGAGGGAGATACAAGCTCCTGCTTGCTCTGAACTCCAGGTCCAAGCGAGACTCTGGGGGACCCAGAGTAAAATGGGGGGAAACTGGACTGAAGGCATTGGGACAGGAATGCGAGAGTGGCTTACTCTTAGAGGTGCTCCCAGCGAGCATTGTTTCTGCACGGGTGTGGGGTATGCGGAGAACCAGGGAATTCTCCAGTTCAGGGCAGCCATTGCTGTTTGCTCCACCCTGATGATTCCCAGAGACCCTGCCCCACCCAATTTACAACCCTACCCAAGCTGTGTGCATCAGCTTTTGCATATGAATGGCCTGTCCTTTCACCTAAAACAAACAGCAGCTGGGTCAGAGAGCCCCAGAGATTCCAAAAGAAGAACCACTACCTGGCAGCAGCAGCAGCCTTGCTACACAGCTGGGCCTCATCTGGGCACTTTCAAACCCATACAAAGAGGAGGAATCTGCAGATGTCTCTGTAGCTCCTGCTGATCGGCCCCAGACAGTGGCTGACCTTGCACCGCCTTGGAGATCCAAGAGCCAGTGTACCCAGTGGTCAGCATGAGACTATAACAGACTACAATTCTTCACATCCATAAGAGACACAACACACTCAAAGGGCAGACTCAGTGAGCACCAAAGCCCCACTGAAGCAAGTCCTGCCCCATAAGGGTGTCTCCTGCACAACAGATCTTCCAGTGTAGACACAGCTGGCCATCACAGCCAATTGACCAGGAGGTCAAATCCTCCCAGTGATACCAACAGCAATCAAGGGTTAACTACAACAAGACTGTGCAAACAGCCCACAAAGGGGTGCATCAAGAGTGTCCACCTCAGGTGACTAGGGAGGCTGAGTCACTGGGCCCTATAGGACACCATCCACACAAGGCCACTCTATCAACTCAAGGAGACCTACCAAGTACATAGAAACAAACACAGGGAAGCAGCCAAAATGCAGAGACAAAGAACATGTCACAAATGAAAGAAATGGATGAAAGCAAACTACTGGATATAGAGTTCAAAACCATGGTTATAAGGTTACTCAAGAATCTTCTAGATACCTCCGAGAAATTTAGTGAGACCCTCAAGGATATGAAAAAGGGCCAATCAGAAATTAAGCATACACTGACTGAAATAACGAATAATATGCAGAGATCCAACAGCAGACTAGAGCAGTGATGGTAAACCTTTTGAGCTTGGCATGTCAGCATTTTGAAAAATCCTAACTTAACTCTGGTACCCTGTCACATATAGAAATTTTTTGATATTTGCAACCATAGTAAAACAAAACCTTGTATTTTTGATACTAATTTTATATACTTAAATGCCATTTAACAAAGAAAAATCAACCAAAAAAATGAGTTCGTGTGTCACCTCTGACACACATGTCATAGGTTCACCATCACTGCACTAGAGGATCCCAAGAATCAAGTCAAAGATTTGAAATACAAAGAAGCAAAAAACACCCAGCCAGAAAAGAAAAAAGAAAAAGAATCCAAAAATATGAAGATAGTGTAAGGAGCCTCTGGGACAACTTCAAGCATACCAACATCCAAATTATGCCAGAAGAAGAGAGAGAGCAAGATATTGAAAACATATTTGAAGAAATAATCACAGAAAACTTCCCCTACCTGGTGAAAGAAATAGACTTACAAGTCCAGGAAGTACAGAGAACCCCAAACAAGAGGAATCTAAAGAGGATCACACCAAGACACATCATAATTAAAATGCCAAGAGCAAAAGACAAAGAGATAATCTTAAAAGCAGCAAGAGAAAAACAGTTAGTTACCTACAAGGGAGTACCCATACGACTGTCAGC